TTCTAAAGGGTCTCACAAGGTTTCTTTTCTTTTCTTTTCTTTCCCCCTTCAGCCGGAACAGATTAATAGCATTTCCAATGGGTCTTGCAGTGTCTTTTTTGTGGTTTGTTCTTCAGCCGGAATGGATAAATTTCATTTCAGTGCATTCCTATGGGAAATGGTGCTTCAACTTACAACCATTTCAAGTTACGACCAGAGTTCTAGAACCAATTAAGTTCGTAAGTTAAGGCACCACTGTATTGGCAAATTAATTACTTCATCTGCTCTACAGAGAACAGGGGAGATGGGATTTTTTTACTTTATGTAAAAAAAATGATGTGCTAGATCAGTTATAATTTATTTTTAAAAATCTCTTCTTTGCCAGCTGCACCTGTACTTTAAGAAGTTTGATTTGGCTATAGCAATACATGCCTTAATTACACCCCAATTGGATTATGGCAACACACTCTGGCTGTGTTTGAAGAAGATTAAGAAACTTCAGCTGATTCAGCTGCCAGACTGCTGACTGGGGCCAGCTATAGGGAGCTTATAATGCCCATGCTACAACAAGTGCATTGGCCACCGGTCTGTTTCCAAGTTTGCTTTTAAAGTTTTAAAAGTTTTTGAAATTACTTAATTGAATTTTTATTAGTAGTGTGGTTTAACCGCTTTTTAATTAGGAATTTATTGTGGTTTTAGTTTTACCTTTTTTAATGTAAGCCTCCATGGGTCCCTTCATTGGGAGAAAGGTGGCCTACAAATGATTCTAAATCATACATACATACCGTACGTACGTACATACATATGTACGTACATACGTACATACGTACATACGTACATACATACCTCTCATAGCTTATGTAGTCTGTAATTGAGTGTACAGTACTGCTTCTGAGATATCTACTAGGCGGGTACGGCTACACTAATAGCAGGGAGCAACCTGGTGTGGACCGCTTGGAAACAGAGTAGCCAGAATAGATAGAATTATCTACTCAAGTCTGACAGTTCTTAACAGTTTAGTAAGTGAACTACTTCAGGATATTGGCAAATTATTTACTTCCCCTGCTCAGGAGAGGGCGGGGAAGTAGATTATTCCTGTAGATTATTCCTAATGTGCCTGTAGAGCTATTAAAAAATAATTAAAACATATTTTCTTTGGCTTCTCTTAAAAGGCTGGTTGATAAACTACCTGCAACTGAAGCCACTGCTCAACCAGTCCATTAAGATTATTTTTAAAAAAATTATAACTGATGTAGCACATCGATAGTCTACATAAAGTTAAAAAATTTTTTTTTCACTTCTGTCTTCTCCTGTTCTCTGTAGAGCAGAGGAAGTAATTCATTTGCCAGTATCCTGAAGTGGTTTGCTAACTAAGTCACTTCATGACATTAGCAAATTTAAAGAGCAAGGCTTGCTTTGGATTGGTTCCAGTGGAGCCAACCCAAACCAGAATGATCCTACAGTATCTGCATCATAAATGTAGAAGCCTCTTGACAAGGGCCAGGAAGGTGTGGGTAGGAATGCTCTGGGGGGAATGGGCTGGAAGGAAATGTCATCTTATTGTCACCTTTACAAGCATGCCAGCAGCGATCCAAAGAGCAGGTCCAAACAGCGGGCTAAACAGCTGTATAGTCAGCTTCTCAGATTGGAAACACCAAGTTTTGCATCCCTACTAAACTGGATGATCTTGGACTCAGCAGCATCTCTCCGTATAATCTGCCTCACAGGGTCATTGTGGGGCTAAACAGTAAAGAAGTGACAGTATGTCACTTTCAGTTCCTTGGAAGAAGTTCAAGGTAAAAATTGAATGACTATACACATACCTGCCTGGATAGCTCAGTGGTGTAAGTATCTGGCTGTAGAGCCAAATGTTGGAAGTTTGATTCCCTACAGTGTGTCCTGCAAGTAGAACTATTTATTTTTATTTTATTTATTTATTTTATTTGTCCCCCCCCTATCTGGTCAATACGACCACTCTAGGCGGCTAGCTTGTGTGGCTTTGTAGAAGCTGCATGGTCCCAGGATGCCCCTCAGAAAAAGGGAAAGGCAAATCACTTCTGAATATCCTCTACCTGGAAAACCTGAAAAGGGTCACCATGTCAGAACTGACTCGACAGCACAGGGTTATTATACATATGTATTTTTTTAAAAAAAATCCTCAGCACCATTATAGAACACAGAAGCTTATTGATGTTTACCAGGAAGATAAAATGCCTTTCTTGGTTTAATCCTGTTGAAAGTATGTGAAATTCAGTGTATAGCAAGAAAGAATTAGAAGATGCTTACATTTTACTGTCATAGAAACTGACCCTGCTTAGTTGAGCCTGACACTGCAATGTATGCATTCTCAAAATATGCCCTTGTCTTTTGCTGCCTTTATGTACAATTCTGTAACACTCATTACCCAAGGCAAACCTGAAAGACTATGTATTGAATCTGTCTTTGGAGAGGCTATTCAATATCAGAGTTCTGGTTTAAACAGAAAGGGTTTTGATTTTGCACCATTCTTAGTCCCTCCAATATATCATCATAATCTATGGATGATACTCATTTTAGAAAGGAAAAGCATTTAACATACTGTAGCTACTGTGTCCTCAAATGACATTTGACTGGAAGATATGAATTTCAACTCTTGATTTGTGCCCTAAGTCTACAATTCTATGCACTCCTACTTGCAAGTAAAATCCATTGATTATATGCTCAGCTATGAGTAAAAGTGCTACATACACTGTAAATAATCTAATCTAATGGAAAAATTAATGACTGAGCATCATAGAGTTGGAACTTCCACACAAGGCCAGCAACAACTTATTGCATTTTAGGATGTTAAGATTCCAGCCAGGCCGTATTTTAAGATACTCTGTTCTGTTCCTCCTACCTCTTGATTTTCCATTTCCGCACCCCAGTAGGTAAGCCAGTATTTTGTGGTTAGTGAGCATGCATAAGCATCATAAGATGGTTCTGGTTGACAATTCCTAAAGTTACTTGCTCTTCTGCAAACATGGGGGTTCCTTAAACTGATTAGGGTTTAGCACCCCTGCATGGTGGAATCACTGTTGCCACACAGCAATCTCATTGCCACACAGCAACCTACAATGCTGACAGAGAGGACTGAAAACTGTGGTCCGCAGTAAGCAATGGTATTTCTCTGGAAAAGAGAAGAAAAATACTTCAGCTTAGCTTTGCCACCCTCTTTTTAATGGGAAGACCTGTCCAGCTCACAGCAGTGCCACAGGCAGAAATACAACTGGTGAATCTTCTTCCTAGCAGGGAGATCCTTATGTGCTGAGTTTTTAGCCTTGTGTCTGCTTGTGGGCTAAACACATGGAGACAGAAACGCAGGAAAATGCTAACACATTGTTCTTGAGCTTTAAACAATAACTGGTGATAAAAACTATTACGTGACATTACTGTATATGGTTTGATGTAATTGGTCTCCAGGGTATTTTGTTTTGTGTGATATCTGAATCTTGTAGCAGATTAACAGCTTCTGTTTCCAAAATATTTTACAACTAATCTGCTTTTCATTGCTGACGAGTGTTGCTTCTTGCATTGATGTACAGAAGGACCACAGTATCTTTGGGATTGGTAAACCAGTTTCAGTTTTTCATGGTTTCGGCAGCCCTGTATACAACATGGGGGGGGCAGGCTTTGTGGCCTTTTCCTTTTGCTCTTTTGCATGTTCTATGCAGGGTTCATTACTATCAGGCATTCCCAGTAGATTGTAGAACAAATCCCTATAGGATACAGGGGGTCCTACTGTACTTGTTAACATCCATATATCAACCGCTTCTACACATATAATTACGTGTTTATATAAATACTGTACAAGGCTGAAACCACTAAGTGATTGAAGTCCCATTGCTTAATTAGTAAGTTGCACTAGAGTAGGTCCATTGAATCATTGGTGAGTCAACTCCTCCATAAAGTCCACTGATTTAAATGGACCTACTCTAGTTGCACCTTACTTTATTGGCTGAAATCTAGAAGTTGCCACAAAAGTAAGCCCATTGAAGCAGTGATTATATAGTGAGTCAACTCCTCTGTAAATTCCATTTATTCAGTGGGTTACAGAGATTCTGTATTTTGAGTAACAAGTGGCACCTACACTTGTGGCAATTTACACAGCCAGTGTGTCACACAAATACAGTATAAGAAATTACAATTGTTTGTAATTCCTAGGTTCATGCACACATGCAGGACTGGCCTTTCCACTAGGGATTATGAAGTGTCTGCTTCTAGCAGGGGATTCTCAGTATTGTATCATGAAATGGTAATGTTAGTATTAGATATCACAGCTAGAGACAGAGGTGGTTCTTAAGCTTCTCACCGTACATGCCAAAATAAGTTACCTGGCTTTAGAAAACAAGGACCCATACTGAGTAGGGCCTAGCCATTTTTCTCCTAAAATGGTGGAGAAAACTGATGCCACAGCTTGCAACAGGTCTCTGATGTGCTTTGAGGTGAATGGCTCAAAAGGGGACACCAGGTTCTGCAGTCTCCAGCAGCAAAATGTTTTCCAGTAGCCTTATACAGTACTGTAGTTAGGGTGACCGGCACACATTTCCCTCTGTATTTTATGGAAAAGAAGTTGTCCTGCGAAATTGTTAGTGGCACACCTGCATGAATACTATTTGACTGCTGCACATATTCTAGTTGAAAGCAACTCATAACTTTTGAGGCATTATAGGGAGATGCGAAAGTCCTGTGTTTGTTTAGGCACTCATCATCAGTACTGTATCTCTGGGCTTGCAATCCTATGCACACTTTTATTGGACCCACAGAATAAAACGGGCTTTACTTTTGAGTAAACATGCATAGGACTGCGCCGCAAGGTGCCAACCTGCAATTATTAATTTCGCTTCCCCCCCCCAAAAAAAAACGGTGGAACGTTGTTTATGGTTTCGATTCTCGGTTTTGCTCTATCAGGAGTTCACCACCCTTTACTTCGCTTCAGTTTTCCCGCCCTGGCTACGTCATATCTCACCCACCCACCCCTTGCTTTCTGTAATCCGAAACTGAAGAGTGGTGTGGGGAGGACAGCCCTCGTCGGAAGCAGATGCGCTCATCTGGAAGATACCAAAAGCGGCGCCTTTCCTCACACGCAGTGCAAACAACGGGGGAGGGGTGGTGGTGAAAGCGAGCTGAGGAATGGCTCGTTACGCGTGCATGCTTTGTTGAAGAGTACGTTTAACTAAGTTACTTTTCCTCCCCCGTGGATGTCAAAGGAAGCCTGGAGGAAAACTCCCAAACGGGGTGAGGGTGGGGAGGCCCTTTCCAAAGCTATGAAGAAAACATCCCATTGGTTTTTGGCCCCGTAGGAACTGAGGGGAGGTGTTTTTTTTCCATGTACGCATCCATAAAAGCGGGTGGCACGTGGCGTGTAGACGCACGATGTGCGTGTAAGGCGGGGGAAGAAGAAGCCCG